TCATAAATCTTTCGTGCTCCAATAATAGAGTCTGGTTTGTTGTTTTACTATCCTGTTCGAAAAATAACAACTCTAGATTAGAACCAATACAGTATGCTACCATTAGATTTTGTATGGGATGTAGAATATCAACGCCTGCTAACATCTTGCTGGCAGAAATCAAACTACGCACATTTAACAATCGGACTTCATTTCTCCATAAAATCTATCTAACGATGGTGCTCTCAAATGACGATTTTCAGGTTTTTGCTAACATCGGGGAATGAATTGCTAAAAGTAATGCTTCAAAATCTCGATTCGTTATCCCAAAAACATGTTTTAAGGAAATTCCTTCTCCACCAAGCTTGATTTTGTTCATTCTGAATTGGCTACTATCGAGGTCAAGGTATCTGCTCTTGACCAGCTGCCAGCTCTTTTCAAATGCATGGTAGATGTAGAGGCGTTTGTGGCTTCGCAACATGAAGCGATTCGTGAAATCCAGCCGTCTGTCACTGAATTTTCAGCCCGGCTAAATGCTGCGCCTGCTGCCACCCAACCGCCTCTCTCTTGAATGGATTCAGTTGCCGTTGTAAACTCGTTATCAGGTTACTTTACCTGCTCCAATATTGGAAAAAAATTTTTTAATTCAAATTATTTGAATTTATTATTTTCGAATTGGAACCCTAGGGCGGCAACCAATATTCATTTCGACAGTGGACAGAACACTGTTATTTCTCTTCTAATCAAAGAAATATCAAATTCAAATATATAATCGATTTTTAAATTCGCATCGCTCTTAGGATAATGTCGGGACCATTACGAGAAAGTGGTGATGCTTCAGCCCCCAAAGACATGACCTAACACACCAACAACCTACCCAGATTATGCAGATTTGAGGAATGGGCCTGCAATTCCCTACGTCCCCCTCCTTGGAACATGTTTTTAAATTTCATTCATCCAATCGGAATTACAGAAATTCCGCGAATAATTCCAATGCTATTCATGCTCATTACAGTGTTGGCTATGAGTAAGTAGAGAGCGGGATTTTTTAACAATTTCAGAAGCCAAAAACATCATCCCGATTAAGTGTTAGGTGACCAATCAACCCCCTAATTCCAGCTTCACCCGGATGTCTGAAGTGACTGAAGTTCATATTATAAATTATTAAATAGCCGAGTTTATCGTTTTATTCAACTGATCTATTATTGTTATTGTCTTTTGACAACGGAATAATTTCATCTTATAATCCATGTGTATGTGTATACTATATACTGGCAGAGCATTTCAGGTATTGATACTCCCATGTTCAAATACACAAATATACAAATATACAAATATGCCAGTATCATGATTTAAATTTGTTGATAAATTTCAATAACTTTTTATTTTAAATTGGTTAAGATTTGTCAATTTTTTCCAATTTTTAAATTTTATTTTATTACAATCATACGAGACCTCGTATTTCGGTTAATATTCAAGTCTGACACTTTTTCCTCGAAAATCTTAACTCTAAATAATATGCTGACTTAGTAAAAATAATAAAATTATAGAATTCTATTGATCATCACCTGATTTCTGCTTGCTTGGATATTGGTGGTTACAAGCCTCGTGCGCAGGTCATCTCTTCTCGCTTCTTATCTCGTCTCCAGAAAGCTAACGTTGTTGATAGCTTCCAGTGGACTCTTCGGCGCATGACTGCGCCCCAACCACCTGACCCTAGTGCGTTGGTAGAGACTATCACCAATACCTTCATGCACCTGGTGGATGTCAATGCCCCGTGGATTGATGATGACTTGAAGATGTTTTATCAGCATGTGCACCATAGACACAAGTGCAGCAGAACATCTGAGCGGCTCTAAGATCAAGTGACTCCACGTCTGGAGGCTTGACGTGCCTCGCTCCAGCTACTACCACTCCCGGCTTTCTGGTCGGTTCGGTAGAAACTTATGGAATGTGCTCCGTCACCTTGCTCTAAGCGCTGGCTCGCGTTCCAGGCCTACTGTCGCTGCTGACGTTTTGAACTCTCACTTCTGTTTCCACCATCGTCGATGGAAGAGCGTCAGACGCGGGTTATGAGTTCTGGCATACTTCTCCGACGGCTGTGGGCCTTGCTTCTGCTTCTGATCTACAGTTTTCCTATTCCCGAGTGAATTGGCACGGTATTCAGAGTGACCATAGTTTCCATTACATCAAATGCTGTTGGCGCCGATGGAATATCTCGGAAGATGATTGTCAATACCTTACCAGCACTAGCTAATATCCTTCTCTTGATAGTGAATCAGTCACTTCAGAGCGACATCTTTCCTGATACCTGGAAGAAGGCTATTATCGTCTCGATGAACAAAATCTGTGTGTCTACAGATCACAGTGCCATTGCTTTGCTGCCCGTCCTAGCGAAGGTAGTTGAGAGGCTGGAATACAGTCAATTTTCGTCGTATTTCTTGGAGCGTAGCTTACTGAATCCTCGGCAGGGTAGCTTTAAGCCGGGTCAAAGTCCTTAGACGGCATTGTTGAGGCTTGTCAATGACATTAGGAGGGGTGTTGATAACCGAAAAGTTACTGTTTTGGTTCTCTTGAACTTCTCCAAAGCCTATGACACAGTCCTTTATTCTTTACTACTAGTTAAACTCTCCCTGCTCGTTTTTTTTCGTGGTGCTGCGGTCTGCTTTCGATCTTATCTGATTGGTCGTCCTCAAGCAGTTAAGGGTGGACATGGATTATCATCGTACCTCGAAACCAATGCCGGAGTACCGCATGGATCTATCCTTGGCCCACTCCTATTCTCCTTGTTTATTCACGATATTGGCAACGCGGTCCTTGAAGCACGAAATCTGCTCTATACTGATGACCTCCAGATTTACTTAGAATGTGATCGCCTAAATGTAGATATCACTAAGATCCAGGGGTGTGTCTCAGCAGACTGCGCCCAACTCAACGTAAGCGAGACCAAAGCTATGATTATGGGAGCCGAACGCTTTGTCAACGATGTGGATATTACACTACTTTCCAGTATTGGATGTCTCTTCGATTCTCTCTCTTTTTACCATTAATGTGTTGCGTTACAGCTCTTTCTCTTGCTTCTCTCTTGTTTTTACCTCATGTATTTCTCTAAATGATTTATACTTATATCTATATCAGCCTGTACCATTTGTGTAACCTTTGAAACAATAATTAGATATCTCATCTTATTTAGAAGTGCATAAAAGTATATAAAAAAAAATACTGTCTCTCAATGTAGCTATAGTTGCATTAATCCACACCATTGAGAAAATACTCTTAGAAACAACACGTAGCTTTTACGTGATTAGCAATTTACAGAAGACATTTCCATTTTTTATTTCAACAATGAATGATGCTAGGAAAAATATGAAGGCGTTGCGAGAAGGAAATTAAGTGGATTTTAACAACTGTTGGAAAAGTAATGATTATTAAGTGCGCCTTAACGATAATAAATGGTATAATTAAATATATTGAGAATATTTGAGGATTGCTTAGAAATCTAGCACGTGCAAAATTCAGACTTCGAAAACGAATTCTTTTTTCACGACATGTGTAGATAACGCAATTCACTTCACCGTCGTATGACAATATATATATATGGCTATGGAAGTCTAGAGTGAAGAAAAATTTTTGACGACGGATAAAACAAATTTTTATTTCTAATATTTGCAAATGGGGTTATATATGTCACAGCTACGTAAGGAAGTACTCAATGAAGATTACAACAGTTATAAATGGCTCAACTACTGGCGGAGCGGATTAGAAAAATTATGCGGCGATATTTTGGATACCTCAGAGGGAATCCGACTTAAGATTACGAACGATCTGTAAAAATTGCGGAACGGTTTCGTAAAATTTTCCACAACCATATTTCTCTCAGAAATTATAGCAAAGACATGTCATTTTCGTTGAATATTTCTCTCCATACAGAGTAATGAATATAACTTATGACGAGTGGTTTCTTTTCACTGTTGCTCTATGGGCGCCAGTTGATTTAAAAATACCGGTAAATTAACAAATCCGGGCTAGCTGGACAAACAAAAATCTCAGGGGGGAGGTAAGATACTCCCATACTTACGCGGCCACACTATAAGTAGAGGACACACAGTTACTGGTTAAATAATTGGATTTATTCTTCATAAATTGTCGAATGGAAAGAAAATCGAAACAAAATTGATAAATCGCATGAAAACAGTAATTGATGTCTCAGAAATCGTGACGGCGGGACTTTCCATGAATTCCGTCCCTGATCGGACTATCGACTCAATTAATTTAACAAATTAAAAAAGACTCGATACAGTGACCCATGAGTTTAGACTCAGGTATTTCTTTCGACCTTGAAATTGTCGATTGTAATAATAAAATTTACTATAAAGTTCAGCTCTGACCTGAGTCGGTGACCTCTCAGCTGCACTCACACCACAATATAATTTTGTAAATTCGTTACATAATTATGCTTGACTTTAGGAGGATTAGCTCGACTGTAAACTTTATTTGCTGCTAATGCTAGGACTTTGACTCAGCTCGTATCATACCATCGTGGCTGATTGTATGACTGCAACTTGACGGTTCGACTTCACGTCGAGGACTCCTAATAAATCGGCGTCTTTATGTGTGTCGTGGTCTTCGTTGTACTTGTGGATTTTCAGACAATTTCCGAATTTTGACGATGGGTTCTGCTGATCCTCGATTGGCCAAACTATCGACGATGGAGACGAAGGGCCTCGTTGTTGCTAGGTTGCGGCCGATTCCTCGTTCTCGTGTGGCTCCTTGTCGACATTTTGTTCCACAGAGATTTTTCTCCAGGGTGACGACAATCTTCCCTCGGTGTGAACCAAAATTACCAGTATTATAGTTTTCTAGACGAGGCTTATGTCCAGTGATCGTGGTTTGGTTGAGGAGTACTCGACGGATTTTAATTTAAGCCAAATAATAACCGACAATAAAAATAGAAATTAATGTTTGACGATACCATCGTCACAAACTTTTTCCATTTAATGACGTATGATTTTTCTGTATAGTTTACAGTTCACAGTGATCTTGGGCGTGTTGTTCAGGCTATCATCAGAGAATTCTGCAAGTATCCACCACAGTTACAGGATGATATGATGTCAACACCAAGTTTACCGCGTAGTGGTAAGCATTTCTTGATAACAATTGCAAAATTTTCACTTCTATTTCAATCTACATAAAATCAGTGGTGAATTGGGAATCGATTCAGTTTTCCATCTTCAGAGCACACTTGAATAAATTTAATATATTAAGTTTTTCTGTTTGTTCATGTGTATATACGGTATTCCATGCCAACTGAGTCGCTATTACCGCTCGTAATACCTATTATTGTTATAAAGGGATAGGAGATACGTAATATCTCATTACACCACTCTTTGTAAATTTTCCTGACTTATAATACGCGGCTGAGACTTCACCGTTGAATTCTGACCGTAATCGAAATTTCAGTTTAAATATTCGATACAATATAGTGATCCGTGAGTAATGACACGTGTTGTGTCCGATCAATGATTAACCACGGACACTTTCGACCTATAAAATTAATTTCACTCGAACGATTAAATGACTAAATTCATTTCTCTTTTTTGTTCTTTTATAAACAATTCACAACGAGTCCAATCATTATCGATTGAGTCTCACTGATGGGATAAATAACTGAACACACAATGTAAAACGGCTCACTGTTATTTTACTATTTTCTCAAAGGTATTATCGTCTATACAAAAGTTGGCTATTAATCGACCGTAACACTCTCAATTATTCTCGAAAAATTGTAAGGGAGTCAAAAACTTGGAATCACCGATTTGCTGTTGTCAGAAGGACCTTCTGGTTATGACTAGTCTTTTTTCTGGTTATCAGATTTTTTGGTAACAGACTTTGGAGTTGGTAATTTTTGAGGAGGAGGAAATTCTCGTTGCTTCATTGGTGAAAATGGCAGAGGGACGGATTCGTGCAGAAGGGAAAAGGAGGTGCTTAGATGGGTTATTTCTTTCAGGCCAGTGTTTTGGCATGGGTTTTGACCCTTGGTCGACCTGCACGTCTTCATGGTAGACAAAAGGCATCCGCAAAGGATTATGTCGTAAAGGTCCTAAGGAAATTCAAGAATGCCTTTTTTTATTGCGGACTGAGTTTTCTTACTAGTTTTTATGATTGGTTTGTGGGATTGAAATGTTGCCTGTTCATCGTAAATTTCAATTGGAAATGTAGAAAAAATCATGCACGATGGAAAATGAATCATTTATTAATTTAACAGATTAGCATCCGATGCATAATCGGAAGATCCCGGGTTCAAGTCCCGGTCTGGACTATCCATTTTTTCAGTAATTTTTCTCGCAAAAAAAAACAAAAAAAGAAATTATATGGAGAATTATCCGGTCCCCTTCCTACCTCATCCAAATCCTATCCAACGACTCCTATGACGTCACAAATAGAATGTGGAACGCTATATAAACTTCCCTTCTATGATGTAAAAATACATCTTAGAAGGGAAGTTTATATAGCGTTCCACATCTTTGTGACGTCAAAGGAGTCGTTGGTGGGGATTTGGATGAGGAAGGAAGGGGAACAGGATAATTCTCCATATAATTTTTGCGAGAAAAATTACTGAAAAAATGGATAGTCCCGACCGGGACTTGAACCCGGGACCTTCCGATTATGCATCGGGTGCTCTCCCAACTGAGCTATCCGGCTCCTAGCCATTTCTTCCATTCACTTTTCTTGCCTATATGGAGCACCGCCGTC